TTCGTGGTAAATGTGGGTTTGAACATTTATTTCTTCAATCACGGTGATTTCGATTCAAAATCAGCACCTGGAATTGAGATGACGAGGTTCGGCACGATCAGCTCCGGTATGACAAGACGAATAATAATGGGGTTTTCAAATTGCTATGATTACAATCCCTGAAAACCCCGGGCCAACCAGCAGGCATAATTGATAGCATTGGTACTAATATTAAATTTTTCCATCATCCCATCATTCTATATTATGGCATTCGAAATGATGGGATTCAGAATGATAGGAGCGATCAGATAAATCTATCCCGAGCTGCTAGTCGCTTTAACCTGCTAGTCACTTTACAAAATTAATTCCTCCTATTTTTTGTATATATGTGATAGTTTTGTTCATTGTAAGCCTCTTACAGTAAACATACAGGCGCTATACTAGCGCGCACCTCGGCTATCGCATCAGGATTATGACAGGATATCACCTCGACTTGAAATTATATTGTTAGATCACGAGGCCTTATAGAACATTGGGAGCATACTTTTTTGGTTTTGATTTCGTAGCTTATTTTTTTTGTAAAATTTAAATTTTCATTAACTTCGGAATGTGAGTTATAAATCAAACATTTTTGCACGTGGGTTCAAAAGTTTTTAATTATCCTCAGTCTTGTTCGAACTTTAGCTACGAGACTCGGGAAGAAGGGATTTTGCACAACTAGATTTTCAAATTTTGTGTCCCGGGCTACGCACGGGGAGGTTATAGTTTAAACATTTAATTTCTACGGACACGAAGACGTGTCTTGTATAAGACTGACGACATGTTCTCTATCAGGACGACCCGAGAGATTGACGAGTGTCTGTGTTTGTTGAGGCTGCGGTCACGGCTCCAGGTAAAGAAGATCAAGCGCTCTAGCTTGTAATGAACAACGATGTCGTTTTGTCTGAAGGTTATCTGAAGGTGAGGTCCAAAGTTGCAGGTTCAATGATGTCTTTCATTGGAAGTTTCCTTTGCACCTTGTGACAAATGATCGAATTGGTGATTGGTTTTGACGTATCGAGTTGCTCGAGATAGCTGAGGTGCTAAGCTCCGCTTGCTGTGAGATATCAATATCACTTCTCTTATATAAGCCGTTATGTTTCGGGGTAATTTGAGTTTTTGTTTTTATCTCCGCTGGCGTGAATATTGTTATCTGATTTTTTTGTGGAATCATAGATGGAAGGAAGATGAATACCGTATAATTCATGCCGTATACTGGCTCTTAATTGATGCATCAGAGGTATTATACCAGCATACCTGGTAACAAAGCTTACTTGGTCACGCCTTATATATATAGTGCCCTTAGCGACCACTACCATCCTAGCCACAGCTCTCGTGGTCACGCCTTATAGTGCCCTTACCGACCACTACCATCCTAGCCACAGCTCTCGTGGTCACGTTTGATATCGTAATGTTTACTCTAGAGACGTCGCCTCGAACTTGCACTTCGACCTTCAATTGGTCTCGCCTGCCACGATCCTCGCACGAGTCCACGGCGTGGACTGTTCATAGGTGCGCTAGGGGGCGGTCACATGGCATGGAGACACGAGGGGACTTATATTCGCATGCTTAATCAGAACATTAATAACTTGATTGTTCCTTTAAAATGTTACCTCTTTGTGTATGTGCTCGTTCAAAGAAATAATGACATTTTGTGTCAAGGTAATCTTAATCGTAAAAATACTTTCATCCGTAAGTTTATGTACGAGAAACACCGATGTCTATACACCGTAACTTTCGTTAGCACTTGATTGCACTGAAACGGCATATTTTTCAACTAAAAAATTAGAAAAAATTCCCAAAAAATAATTTTTTCAGAATTTTTATATAGGAGGAATTTCTGGAATATTCTAGAGGAATAATTTTGTATAGCAGTAAATTTTGAAGGTATTCCAATAATCGATTAGAACACATTTCGAACACGTTTCACCTACCACTCATCATCTAATGGACATCGATGAATGAAGAAAACTGTTCTTCTTGAACAATGAAACGATTACCCAACCGTTTTGAAGTATCAAATAAGCCAGCTAATAGTTACTATTATGACAAGCACAGTTGCCCTAGCAGTTGCCAAGCTAAGACACGCTATCTTGTCTCCTGGCGCCCGGCTTACGTAGCCCTCTTGAGGGCGCATGCCTATAGTGGGACTAGAGTTCAAGTCTCAGTGAATCTTGACGGTTCACTGCAAGAAAAAAAAATATAATTCAGTACTCACTGCAGTGAGTGACAGAGAGCGCATTTTCTCGTCGACGAAAACGTGAAGTCACGGACGGACAGACAGACGGACGGACGGACAGACGGACATGGCGAGCAAAATAGTTCATTTTTTCCATAAATGAGAAAATGCGCAAAAAGATTTCAAAGAATACATTTATTAATTTCCATTAATTTGTGATACTTCTTTCAACTCTAAAGTCTTGAATAATTTTAACGCTGTTAAAATTACGAGTTTGTATTGTAATTTTTTAGTAAGAAGGAACATAGTCTCGGTGTTTCCTATATAGAAATATTTACATGCGAATTAATCGAGCGCTGCTCGCCCTGTCTCCTACTGCAATGGAGTTCCGCTGCTCACGCTTACTTCGCACGTTTTGCACTCAAGTTTGCCCGCTACTAGCTTTTATTCTTAAAAATTTATATGTCTGGAAGAAAAAGCATTTTAATTGCTAGCTCTACAAATTACAGTCCAGCTGGACAAATTACCGTCCAGCTGTACAAATTACCGTCCAGCTGTACAAATTACCGTCCAGCTGTGCAAATTACCGTCCGGCTGAACAAATTACCGATCATATGTTCGAAATCAAATGTTCAATTCCACGATATAATTTTACATTTTCTGTAATTCATAGTTTCAAAATTACAGTATCTCTTTCCACTCCAAAATAAATATAAGGATAATGTGTGGTTATCATTTGATTAGATGTTTTGTTACTACTTCTATTGGTCAATTGGTGGGGCAGTGGGCCCAGGTCACGTCACTAAGCTTACTATATATCAAATGATTGAAATGGTAAAACAATTCATTATGAACACCGGTTTTAGTTCAAGTTTTTTTTCCATTTCTTTGTTCTCTTGGCAAATCAAACCTTCTTTCATTCAGATCCTTCAGTTTGCGAAGTTACTGACTTTTAAGTTTCTATTGTTTATTAACTTCGCTTATTTGCGTTCCGCACGCTATCTATAAATTAAACTTTAAAAATCTTTTACTCCTGTAAAAAATCTTGTACAGGATAACGTGGTAATTGTATACGTTGTTCCACTTCAGGAGCATCACTTTATTCGTTCGTTTTTTGACCAACCAACTTTTTCCATGTAAAGCAAAATGTATTTATTATACAAGCTTCTTTAAAGCTACCGACAGTCGATATGTTCCAATGTTGCCCAAAATACACGACATTTGCAGCAAACGATATGGTTGTTGCTTGATAATCTTGAGTGCCAAGAAGTGAGCCTGTTTTAAATTAAATTCGTACGTGTTTAAAATACGTCAATTTGCGACAAAGAAATACGATTCATTATGATGAGGCCTGTTTAACGAAATGAATTTGCTTGGTAAAAAGTGGGTATAACGTTAGCATGAACGTAATTCTGGTCATATTAAATTGCTGCAATATTGAGTTGCCTATTTATATTATAGCATACGCCTGAATTCGCTTCTAGCATAGAAATAAAACAAGATTTTCTTAATTGAATCCATCGAACTTCATTCGTGCGACTCATCATTTATCCGAAGCTGTTTAAACGGTTACAGGACTCAATTCTATTGGTTGAGCCAAATTAAACACCTAATCTTCATAGCAATCGCTTTTAGCTCGAAAGTTTCCTCACTATCTCGCCCCTCCTCGCTCGTCTTACTACCTCAAAGCTGCAGGTGAGAAGAGTCTGAAGACAGTGACTTGCCTGCCGGCACAGTGGAAGGTTGTGTGCTGTTGGCTGCGCAAACGATCACGTCAACCGTAGGTGCTCTTCAGATTTATTTTCTCACAGTGAATTTCCTGTTGTAGGCCATGGGTATTAACGACGTAAGTGTTACTTGTGCTTCAACTCAAAGTTAATGAAAGTTGCAGGTTTTAATTTTTCTAAAAGATTTGAAATAGTGCCTAATATACTATTTAAAACGCATTCATCCTGGCGCATTATTTAGACTTGAAAATCGTTATTGCTTCCTTCTAGCGCATTAAACTTAAAGGAACAGAAAGATTACAATGCCGTGTAAAACTGTAATAATTTTTCTAGAATAGTGAGGGAGGGTTTGGATAGCAGTCCATTTTTAGTATTTTTTATGAGCTTTCAGGCGTCAGCTGCTAGTTTCATTCCTAAAGCTTAATGCAGTCGAGTCTGCGAACACAATGAAAGATTGGAATATCTTGAAGTTATTTCCTTGTTAGTTCTCTAACGCTCGTATACGTTGGATCTTGCTTCTACCTCTCGCGAAAGGTTTTTTTTTATAATGTTGAATAGGTTCAACGTAGCAATTAAACCGATGTAGTGTCAGATGCCGGCAAGCTTTCGAGCAGAAGGGTACATGCATAATCCTGTTATTTTGCGCTTTTGTTATAAAGATGTCTTTTGCCGAGACACAATTTTCCTGAAGGCAACGCTAGATTTACATGGTATATTTCCTTATTGAAAAAGAACTGACTATTGAAAGACTTTGGTTGCGGCGACGTGGCTTCTGGCCCTGACAGGGAAGCATTTTCCTGTGGGTTCTTGCTGACATGTTGAACAAGAGGGTTCGAACTCGGCTGTATTGGGTGAATGTGCTTAACAAACACCTGGAAGTCCACCTGAGCGCAACCATTAACTAACCCTAACTAGCATAGGAAGTTACATTCGTGCCAAATATCAAAGCTTCTGTTCAATATAAACTTGTAAGTCATCTGTCGTCGAATACGAAGTTTACAGTAAATTTCTAATGGTACGAATAAGGTTCACAATCGTTTAATAATTCTAATGCCTTAACTTTCATGCCTTTCCAGGTGTCTGAATCTGAGGCTCCCGAAGCTTTGCTGGTTTCATCAGCGTCTAGGTCGGCGTCACCACTGGGTGAAATTCGTTCTGAATCTCCATTGCAGCTCGAGTCCAACTCTCCACACTCGAGTAAGTCTTCAGCAGTCGTGGAAACTTGAGATAGATTTTATACTATTACTTCCGATTACTAATGAAAAATCACAATTACTTTCCACCATTTCAATGCTAGAGTTCCAAAAACAAAGAATACGCCAGACCATTGACGAGTATCTTAGCTCCACGTATCTTTGAACTGATAAGTTGGCATGCTACAGGCTCTACCGCCAGTGTGGACGGCGAAACTTACGACAAAACTGAGTTTTCCTATACCCACTTCTCTTCAACCGCTGAAACGGAGAACTTGGCAGTTAACGCAGCCGACAGCATGGTGGCCCAGCAAGAATATCTAGACGGTGAGTTTTCGGTTTGCTCGTTTTAAATTGCCCCCTTACAGTGTTATTTTTAGAGGCTCAGGTGCATTTGTCAGATGTCTGCGTAAATTTGTCAGTTTGATGACAATGCTAAGGCACTATATAAAAATGAGTCTCTACCGGAAGCTCGTAGAGTGAAATGCTTGTTAAGTCATGTGTGATTGAGCATCGTGCCGGAGCTTATTCCAGCAAATTCCAGTTATCTACCTTCGCACTGCACGGATTTACCGTTAGCAATATATATCAATGGAATAGGAACTTCAATCAGAAGTGACACGTGTTCAGTTTTCGGCGCGACAATTTATTTCCCGCAATTTCAGGCCCAGACCAAGTGGTCCCGGCAACTTCACACAAAACGTGGCTCCCGAATGGCGCCGTGAAACTGCAAATTGCCGAGGAAGGCCTGGCTTCCCACAAGCCTTTGTCGGTGCCGTCTCTCCTCCGGAAAACTGCCGAGAAGTGAGTCTCGAGAAACCCGAACGCATTAGAGCCCATGCCTTACTTGGTTCACATCTAAATTATATCCGATTAAGGAGGGTAATTGTGTAGTTTGGATTTTCGTAGCAATCTACATTCTAAGCATTGAAATGTTGACAATTGAAGGAAATAAAGTGAATATATCCGGGCTAAAACAACAGGTCCCGGAAATTTTTGAACATTGTTTGGCCGAAAATTAAAACCTGGCCCATCAACGGATACCGCAATGCCCATTTAAGCATGTAGATAACTAGCTACTATAAAATTTCGGATGTCTAGAAGCATCATGCTTTACTACAAATTATCACTTCCAATTACTTATTGGATTTTTTTAATTAATTGAATTAATTACTTCCCCTTAATTGAATGAACGCCATCTCGCAGGTACCCTAACCAAAATGCTCTGGTGGAGAAGCGCAACGGTGAGTGGGTCGGCATGACCTATGCCAACTATTACAAGCAGGTGCGTAACGCGGCCAGGGGCTTCATCAAGCTTGGCCTGGATGCCTACCACGGCGTCTGCATCCTCGGCTTCAACTCCAGCGAGTGGTTCATCTCAGACCTGGGGGCCATCTTTGCTGGGTAAGCTCGTTGTTCCGGAATTGTTATATTCTTTGCCATGAATTGTTGGAAACGTTTCTTGGTATGGGATTGGACTTCGTGATAGTAGATCATTTAAAGAAATTACTGCTCTTATCTACTTGAGAAAGGGGGTTTTAACCAAAAATCAAATTTGAAAGCTGCTTCCGTTACTCTCCTGATTATTTGTCTGTTATTTGCCATGGATGCTGGATTTTATTAGTTATAAAATGCCAGTTTTCGTTGAAACTTCCTGATAGACTTGCTACTTAAGTTGGCATACTTTCTATCAAAATGCAAGTCGCATTTCGGAAGCTCGTACCTCTTGTTAATATATTTAAATCTCTTCGTTTTCAGTGGTTTCGCAGCTGGCATCTACACAACGAACTCTCCTGAAGCCTGCCAGCACTGCGCACTCAATTGCGAAGCTCAGATTTTCGTCGTAGAGGACAAGAAGCAGCTTGAAAAAGTTCTTAAAATTAGAGATAATCTTCCTGCATTGAAAGCCATCATTCAATACAAAGGCACACCTTCCACACCGGGAGTCTTGAGCTGGGATCAGTTCATGGAAATAGGAAAACAAGAAAGCGACGACGCTCTTGAGGAACGTCTGCGTAGAATCTGCGTGAACCAATGTTGCACACTCATCTACACTTCTGGTACAACAGGGCCTCCTAAGGGCGTGATGCTCAGTCACGACAATATAGTGTTCACGGCCCTCTCCATGAGCGTCATGCTCAAAATGACGCCTGGATCAGAGATAGTAGTAAGCTACCTGCCTCTGTCTCACGTTGCTGCCCAGCTCGCCGACATATACATGACCATGATCAATGCGGGCACCGCATACTTCGCTCAACCTGATGCCCTCAAGGGTTCTCTCGTCAATACCCTGAAGGAAGTGCGACCAACTGCTTTTCTCGGAGTGCCAAGAGTCTGGGAAAAGATCTACGAACGGATGATGGACGTTGGTCGCAAAACCAAAGGCCTCAAGAGAAGTATTGCTACGTGGGCGAAAGCACTCGGATTGGAAGCTAATGAACGTAAACAAAATGCGGATTTCTCCAAGCCCCTTGGCTTCTCGGTTGCAAACGCCGTTGTCTTCAAGAAAATAAAGCAAGTTCTAGGTTTAGATCGTTGCAACATTTTCCTATCTGGCGCCGCTCCAATTGCACCAGATATTGTTCGGTATTTCCATTCATTAAACATCTGCCTTGTTGAGATATACGGTATGTCAGAATCTAGTGGACCTCACACATCAGGCATAGAGACTGCCTTCAAAGTCGGCAGTGCTGGACGCACTATGCCAGGCAGCATGACTAAAATCCAAACTCCCGACGCTGAAGGTAACGGGGAGGTGTGCATGGCTGGAAGAAATGTTGCTATGGGTTACTTGCTTAAAGAAGAAGCCACTAATGAGACCTTCGATGACGACGGTTGGCTCCACTCCGGTGACATCGGCAAAATTGACAACAAAGGATTCTTGTTCATCACGGGCAGACTGAAGGAGCTCATTATCACTGCTGGTGGAGAGAACATCCCTCCTGTGCTCATAGAAGATCTCCTCAAGGCGGAGCTGCCTTGCATCAGCAATGCTATGCTTATAGGCGACAAGAGGAAGTTCCTCTCCATCCTTCTCACACTCAAGGTAAGCTTTTAGAAGAGTTAAAATGTACAAACTGGTCTTAGAATCTTCAGCTCTATAACCGTTAGAAAATTGAATACATTGTGAATTTAATAATAATGGCACAAAGTATTGGAAGATGGAATGATTAATGATGAAGAAATTAATACATGAATTCGTGTAATTCCTATTCAAAGTATCCAGCAGAATGCAAAGGGAGATGATCTTGTCTAATTTTCCATAGACCGACATGAACCTGGACACTGGCGAAGCTTTGGACACGTTGAGCCCTGCGTGCGTGGAATGGTGCCAGGGCATTGGCTCGAACGCTCGCACAATCTATGATGTTTTGTCTGGTCCAGACGCTAAAATAATGAGAGCAATTCAAGACGGGATCGACCGAACAAACAAAAATGCTGCATCTAACGCACAAAAAATTCAGAAATGGACAATTTTGCCACGAGATTTCACAGTAGTTGGCGATGAATTGGGTAAGTAATGAATATTAGTAGAAGAGAGATTACTAGCGCTTCAGCCTGAGCTTCGCCTATAAGTAATGAATATCTACGAGGAAAAATTAGTCGACTTGCGAAGATGCTGCATTGATAACATTTGAAATAACACGTATCCAATTAATAACCTAATTCATAGGCCGTTGCCAGCGCCATTCTAACAATATTGCTGCACTTCCAACAGGCCCGACAATGAAGCTCAAGAGGCCGGTCGTCGCCAAGAAATACTCAGAAACTATTGAAAGGTTTTACGAATAGCTGCTGATTAGTAACCTTGGCTTTTAGATGTTCGTGTTTGTTTTGTTGAACAGAAATCTAGTGATTTTGCGAGTTACGTGCACAAGTTATATTTTTTGATGTATAAACCCGGATTTATGAGATTCTGAGGCTTCTATTTTCTTTCATAGAATATGCCGGTTAGAACACTCATTAAAACGAGTAAAGTTAAATTATTAAAGTTGTGTCTTTCATTGATAAAACTTGTAAAGTAAATCATAATTCAGGTCTATCTGGAAAAAGGGGAGGGAACTAAAATCATGTACTCCTAGAGACAAATTTACACTAATCGAACCTAGAAAATTAAGTTAGTTATATGTACATATTATCTTGCTATAATTCGGAATTATTATACCGAAGATTACAGCTGTACAAACTCGGAACATCTAACCGTTATCCTTCGTCAATCAGTCCACGGGTAGGTGTTCGCCAATTCTACCAGATTCAGTTAGTAAAAGAACGTATTGACAAGTCGCGTAAGTGCAGCCCTCTGCACGACGTGCTTTGTAGATCTTCATTCATTAGTCATTCCAGATTATATCTGTTGACTTGGGGCATCATGTTGATGAGTAAATTCATTTCTCCCATTTTGCCATAGTTGTAATATTTATTAGTCAGTTACCAGATATAAGTTAGTATTACCAGATCATACGCTGCATTTCTAACTATAACCGAGAGAAACTGAGTTTTCCAGGGTCTCTTGAAAGTACTGTCTAATCTTCAATAAATAATTATTCGAGAACTGTCACAATTAACCTATTATTGACTTGTTAAGTACGATCTGCATTATTAATTCCACGAAGGGAAATGAAATATTCTATTAAAAATGTCCATTTATATCCCCTTGGCGTCGAACAAAATCCATATTGGACCCCGAATGTCATACCATTTCACGCCTGATAACTTTCTCATGAATCAAGCAAGATGTCACGTTCTGAATGAGGTGCTTATAAACGGATCAGTATCCCGTCATCTCCACACAAAATGATAGATTTGTTACTTAATTATGATCGCGCATGAAACGTTACGTGCACCGCATGAATAATATTGCACAGACCACGTAGACACTTAACGTTCTTGTCTAGTAGTCGCATTCATTCATCAGGCCTTGTTGATTCCAAACTTATCTCAACCAATAATTATAGAAACAATCGCACGGAATAAATACTAAAACTTAAGAATAAGTTATCTTCAAGTAAAAACGGGATTGTTCAGTCCTAGTTTATGATTAATATCAGAGAGCACGTAAGCAAAACTCCGTTCTCTGTAAGGAGAGATCCCAGCCATGATGTCTTCATCTTCCTCCTCTTCTTCCTTCTTTGGTTTCTTTTTCTTTTTCCTTCGCTTCTTCTCCTTCTGTACGTGATCGTCATCTTCTTCTTCGTCCTGACGATAAATAACATTTATTAAAACAATAATAATAACACAATCGTACTTATAGAGCATGCTAACTGCGACTATCCTGCGATTTACTTGAAGCTTTCGACTACCCAGGAATCATGAGTGAAATTTTAGGCAAATGTAAAATATAGTGGTGCAAGCAATCGTGCAGTAACATTATTTTTTCACGTTGAAAACTGAGAAGTGCAACACGAACACTATTTTATGCGCTCGCTCAATGCCATAGAACGTGGACGTTAGGAACGGGGGAACACCAAGTAAGCGGGTGCCTCAGATAATTTGTTAGGCATCAGCATCAGAGCACACTTGTAGCCGGGATTTATTACAACGAATTCACAACGGGAACTGGAAATACGATTCCAACTGATAGTAAAAAAAAACGTAGCGTCAGGTTGTGTGCATCTTTTAGTTATCAGGTATGCCGCACTAAGAAGTAGTGTTATGACCTCAGACTCAGAAGCCAATCCTTTTATGTACTTCGCATTGATTACATTAAAATTATATCACCCTGGATATAAAAAGAAGCTCTTATTAAGTTCTCAAGGTGACCAAGGCAAGCTACAAATTATTACCGGAGAACTATTCTTTGGTCTGCGCTCCCTCTTGGCTCGGCCGGACGTGCTTGGATGCGGCTGAGGTTCTTCTTTCTGTCGCTCCCTCCGCGCTTTCCTCATCTGATTGTCATACTCGAGGGCGTCATAGAAGTTAGGCTTCTCCCTCTTGACCCTCTCACTTCTCCTCTTGCCACCCTCGGGAGTCGTGCTGCCTCCTGCCAGGGTGACAGACGTGTTCACATGCCCCTTTGACCCCGCCCCCAGCATGCCAGGTGGTGATGTGAACAATGGTGAAGCAGTTCTGGGGAATCCTGGATGAAAGTACCAAGAAATAATATGAAAGGTTGGAAATTACAGGTAACCTAAACCTAGAGCACCAAGAATCAACACATAAGGTTACGCCAAATATTTGTAACTTGGACCAGAGGACCAGAAAAACTGTAACCTGGACCAGAGGACCAGAAAAACTGTAACCTGGACCAGAAAAACTGTAACCTGGACCAGAGGACCAGAGAAACTGTAACCTGGACCTAGAGGACCAGGAAAACTGTAACCTGGACCTGAAGGACCAGAAAAACTGTAACCTGGACCTAGACGACCAGAAAAACTAACCTGGACCTAGAGGACCAGGAAAACTGTAACCTGGACCTAGAGCACCAGAAAAACTGTTACCTGGAACTAGAAGACCAGAAAAACACAAGGTTGCAACAAATGAGGGGAACCCCGAACCTGGACCATAAGTACCAATAAATGACACGACAGGATGATCTATAATGAAGACGCTATAGAATTTTTAGGATGGATGATCTATAACCAAGTCGTTGTAGAATTTTTAGGATTTAGAATTTTTTGAATTAAAATGAGAATGTGATCACTTAGGAAGCTGTAATCTATACTCAAACAGAAAGTTAAAGTTTACTTTATATTTCAAATCTAAAACTAAATCAGAGTCCAGGGCAAAAATAGGGTGTGGAAAGGTTTTTATCAATTAACACCGTTTCAAATTGAAGCTTTTGATGCAAATAGGAGGAATAGGATTTGCAAACCTCACAGATAAGCTTGTGCAATGCTTGGATGGGCTACTAGAAGGCACAAACTAGGCACTAACTTTCACTAACATTTCCATAGCAAGTGCCAGAGGTAGAAATTTGATGCAAAATTCTCATAACTGCAAGTGAATTTTCTTTGTTACAAATGGCATCATACTGTACAGCCCATATGAGAGACAATCATAAAGCTGCTTCATACTGCACAGCTCATATGATCAAGAGATGCAATCATAAAGCTGCATCATACTGTACAGCCCATATGATCAAGGGATAATCACAAAGTTGCAACATACTGAACAGCTCACATGAGCAACAGAATCATTAGCTGCATCATACTGTACAGCCCATATGAGCAAGAGACAGTCATAAATTTGCATCATACTATTCAGCCCATATGATCAAGAGACAATCATTAAGTTGCAGCATACCGTACAGCTCATATGGTCAGAAGATGATAAAAAAGGCAGCATATTATAGAGGAAATAAAAGCATTGAAGATAGCAAATAATTCATGATCCAGTTTCTAATGCACAAACAAGGTAATTAAACAATTGATCAAGAAAATTGAATTAAACAATTGATCAACAAAGGAAATTGAAGGTTAGTTTGAATCAATATCATTATAAATTGTCATTGCTCAAATGTCCATACATTATAAATCATGTAGCGTACATAAAGCAGAAACATCGAGTGAAAACATGGCCACATAAAAAATCAAAATAAAAACCTGTTAATTTAGCATGCAAGACAGTTCATGAAATGTAACTAGAAGGGATTGCTTTTACGATAAACTAATACGCGTGAATGAACATAGTTAAGTCGATAACAAAGGCAAAAATTCATTACAATTAGCAGGTATACAAATGAAGAAGATATATGCCACTTGAAACATTACTTGCAAATTTAACAAACAGAAAGTACCTATAGCAAATTGCCCTTTACTCACCTGTATCACTGCTGACACTGGCTGTGGCACTGATCTCGTCTATATCACCACCTGATCAGAACAGCCTGTAGTCACTTGCGTACAGGTTCAAGCACCACAAACAATAATATTTATATAATAAATAATTCACACAATGTTTTAAGGAGTTAACAACGTCACTAACATGGTATACCAAGAAGGTAACAGCCTAATAAACCCAAACTTTTCCCATTTCATCATTCTTGTTGCAAATTTTATTTGGTGCTGCCTGAGTAACTAGTTTCATTTGCAGCCAAACCAATCATTGACCATTGTCGTCATTTTAAAAATGTTGCTATCTTCAGCATAAACTGAAGACACAATAGTGACATGAATAGAGACCATTACCATTCTAGTCAGAATCTGGATAAATAATTGATGGTTTTTAACTAGCAAGCAGCAATCGAATGTTAATTCATGAAAATGTGGGATTCATAGGTTTCATATTTCTAGTTCAGAGCATGAATATGTATAAATATAAACTTCTCCAATATGCAAAAAATATTTATAATAACAAACTGAATAACTGTAACTAAGATCTGTTTTGAGATTACAATGTAATTTAAAAGATATGGTGAATTTTTGTGGTATTTTCTTTGCTTTTAAATTCCTGGTTAACTTGCGATTCAAGCAAACAAGTGATTTTAGTAATTTAAAAGTAATAAGTAATAATTACTATGCAAACAAAATGAGTCAAAAGAAGAGAGAAAGCTTCTGAATTTGGAGTACATATTTGTTTACATGATGCTGTATAGAATAATAAATACATATACAGACAGAGAAGAAATAATAAATACATATACATATATATGTGTCTATATATGATGCTGCATAGAACTCGTGTATGAAGTTGAAATTGAGATGAGAATCAGACAATAGAATAAGACAATACAAGTCTTAGAAATATCTGCAATTAAAATGATACACTGTGTGCATTAGTAGAAATCAGTATCAAGACATTATTATTAAAATATGCACTAGGTACTGCTGCCAAATGATAATGTGATGGTACACAAATGATAACATGAATAATATGATCATTGTTGGAATAAATATAATGACACAAAAAATAACTCAATTTGGAGGGAAAAAGCCAATTAATTGCCTTTAATAATGTAAAGCATTGATAGAAAGCTACCTGAATCTTGAGGAGGTGTGAGGGCTGTGCAAGAACGGCGACGCTCTTCAAAAAACTGATGGCCACAAGCACAGAGACGAGTAGCAACAGGAATCTGGAAAACAAAAAATTCACACTAGTTACTAAGAACGCAGCTTCACTATTGCAGAACAGGACTGATCTAGTCTCCTTAATGTGTTCAGTTAGTCTGCAGCAAGAAATTCACATACCGTACACATCTATTACATGATATAATGAAACATAAGTTAGACTATAAATAAGCTGTGGAAACCCAATCCCAGTTTGATTAGTTTAGGTATATAAATTACTGACACTTATATGACTGACTTTTTCTAAAATATTAATTTGCATTATTACTGAATGTTCTACACTACTATTCATCACTACACTGCAGATTCATAAATAGTTCTTCATTGAAACAAAACTGGAGAAGGGCAGTCTAATCCTAGCAGAATCTGCCATTTGTTCCATGTATCACGCTGCCTGCTATAATGTTCAAAAGTTGTTAAATGAACATTGCAAGAAGGGTTATTGCTATGAAACCAAAATTTATGTTCTTTCCTTTCTGCTTTCATTAAAAATGCACTTTATATTGACTCAGATTATAGGTAGATAGTTGAATATGTATGCAAAATCTTAGAAAATGCTCAGGATGGAATATATATATGGTAGAATTTACCAGTCTTTAATATACAAGCCTCTGAAATTTCAAATCTGCTCACTTTTTTTCTACAAGCCAAAGAACAGATAGTCACTGAAATCAGAACCATATCAATAGGCCCAAAAAAATATTTAATATAAAAATATATGTTGTATTGTTACATCCTCAGCCCCCTCAAACATGCAAACTTCTTGAAATATTTCAAGCACAGTTTATGCACTAGAAATGTTTTTGCCCAATAGAAGAACATCATACAAGGTGGAGGACGGTGTAGACAATCAAATCATTTCCAGCAATTGGCCGCAGAAAAATTGTTAAAAAGTCATACAATATCTGCCAGTGATAGCCAATATGATGAGTAAGTTACACACTATCGTCACACTGCTTTCCACCAAACAGATTAACTTGCTCACCTCAAAAGCCATTCCTAATAACAATTTCCAAGTTCAACAGGAAGAATTACAACCCCAATTTCATGCCTGTTATCTCTTGTCTCATCAGAATATGGAATAACTTCAGACGACATCCATGAACTAACTGAACAAATGAAAACCTCAATAATGGAAAAAACAGAAGAAACGCTGGAAGATTTTCTGGCAACACTCAACCACAGCCTCACTAGCCTCAACAGTGGCCTCACTCTCACCTCATTCATCAATTACCACGTAGTACACCATCCCCTTATGCCAACACAGTCCAACATACTAATCTCATTCATCAATTACCACCTAGTCACCTTCCCCTTATGCCAAAATAGTCCAACACACTAATCTCATTCATCAATTACCACCTAGTACACCATCCTCTTGTGCCAACACAGTCCAACATATGAATAAACCACTAAGCAAGTAATGGTCATTTACCCAAGCACAGGGCAGACAGACAAATTTACAGATGCAAGCACAAATTCCCACTAGACAATACTTAAATCCCTGTCACATAGATATTATTCAGTGTGTATAGATATTATTCCTCGAACCTTGGAGTACCGTATGTATCGGTACTATTCACACTTTTTACACTTTATTATATTCAGTACTGGTATTTATAATTTTCCCACTTATCTCAGAAATCTCACAGCTCTAAAGGGACAATTTTTTTAATACAATTGGAATCTTGAAGCTCTGGAGTGACCTTTGGAGCCACAACTATAGTCTTCCTGCAATTTTTGGAGCTCTGAGATTCTTGCTAGATGATTCTACTCCTATCTAATTGTTAAAAAAAGTGCATGATTGGGCTGCACAATTCATTGTGTCAAAGCTTTGTTACTTCGTAGCCACAATGTTGCAGGAGGAGCTATATTGCTTTTTAGCCCAACCCTTTGGCTTTCATGCTCGTTTATTTAATGTCTGTGCTGTGTTTTCTCATTACGGTATGTAATTTTTTTGTTTTTCTTCTCTAGTCCAGACAAGGAAGTAAAATTATTACTGTAAAGGCAAATTCCAAAACTAAAGCATAATCCTAATGCAAAATTCCAATGAATAACTAATAACTGCACCGGTATGGGAACCTAAGCTAACTCACCACTTGAGAGGAAGTGAGTGATTATTTATTGAATATATTCATTTTATTGCTCAATTGATGTTATATTACAAATGGTTTATATTTTTGTGATTTCACTTTGTTTTCTGATTTTCTATTAATTGTTTTCAGTGTGTTTTAATTCTGCAAGCAATATATTTTGATGTTCATTAATTCTTCATTAAGCTGTTTGCTGCAATATAAGTTTGCTTGATTACTTTTTCTGCATCCATAAGCAACACAGTTGCTCTAAGAAGTCATTATTAAGGTTCTTGATTATTACTGTTTTTCTGCTTGTTAATTTAATGCTTGTTCATATTTAATCCAATTCTTCATCTTATAGTCATAGGGCTATGATACATAAAATTAATAAGTTTACTTTCTTTTATGGCAGATCACATATGCATCTTGGCCATGCTCCTACGCATGTTAGTTCCATGCTTCTTAGTTCTTTAACTCCTATGCTCGTTAGTCCTATGCTCCAAAACTCTCTAGGTATATACCGACATTCTTCATCCACTTGTGCACCACACTTGTGTTCACTGCATAACCAATAGCCATTTAACTGAACTATACCTTAAATTCTGTTTCATTTGTCAGTAATAAAAGATAAATTTTAGTCTCATGTTGTTGTTGTTGTTGACCCTCCCCGCCTCGCTTCGTGGCGCGAGGCGGGGCCTAGACCCAGTTCTGGGGCCAGCCAAGTCGGTCGCCCCAGCGGGCCAGCAGCCCTGCAGCGTTTACAGGGTCCGACCAAAGGTCACCCACCGACAGGGATGTGGGCATTTCAGGGCAGGAGAAAAGATGAATGGTGTCGTGCGTGTTGGACAGACAGAGTGGGCAAAGTGGAGAAGGGTGTGTGGCAGGGTCTATTTTATTTAGATATGAGAGAAGTAGCGGTGATTTATTTGTGCGAAGTTGGGCAAGGTTCCTGCGTGCAGGTCTAGGTAGGTTTATTTCAGATGGGTGAATC